ATTATAATCCATGATGACGGTCGCATTACCTTTATCAGCCGGTAAAATGCAGGATACCCTCTAGGTGATAGTTCTTGACTACTTTTTGATAAATAATTCGTTCTTATTGCGAAATAGGAGCGCTATTTATCAATCTGTAATAAAAGACGTGAGGAAATTCTGGAGACAAAAATTTTTGAGGCGAAATACCCAAAAAGAAGTTTATAAAAAAATATCTAATGTTTTATTCCCCATATTTAGCCCATGCTGACGCGCATAAAGAAAGAAGGAGCCCCGCGCAAAAAGCGCAACGGATCTCCAGGGGCGGAGTCCTCAGGGTCCGAAGACAGCGGCCTGTCGACTTCTGTGCCTATTGTAGCTACCACTGCCATGACATTATCTGAAAGGTAATTGTTTTTTTTAAACCTCTACACAGTATTTAGCGCCCAGACTTTACGGGCGAAAGGGTTTTCTTTCAGCAACCGATAGAAATACATATTTTGCATATCTTAGCCAGGATTTCTTCAGTATCGCTAAAATCTGTTGCAGGTTTGGTAAAATCGCGCAGTGGTCAGCCGATAGGGAACGCCGGGACATTGAAAACATGCGAATCACTAAAACTGGAAGCAACATGAAAGTCATGGTGGAAGAGGACGAATTCTTGTATGGAACTCCACCTAGGAGGTACAGGTATATATATCGTTTCAATATTTGTCTGTTCTTCACGGTTGGGGCTGAACTGCAAATAATGCGTCCTGTTTTTTGCCTTTCAGTATATCTCCAGTTCCTCAGGGTCACTATCCTGATGAACTGCTATCAGCCGGACAGTCCAGACTAGCTGCTTGGGACGATGTTCGTGTGCGCTACCAGTATTATAAAGATTTAGGTAAGGATTCGATCCGGGAGATATTTCAAGTTCCCACTATTGATTTTTTGTTGCAGGATATTTGCGTGATTTGTCATTGGACGACTATGTAAAATGGGAAGAATGGTGGTATAAATATCAAGATTGGTTAGCCAATGAGAGACACTATGAACATTGGCTGGCCACTCACAACAACCCTGGAGGCAGGAGGCGAAAGAAGCGACTACCCGCAAGCCAGCGATTAGGAAATTAAGATTGTATCATTAGATTTGTAAGGATAAGGCGCCTTTATTTTGGTTCTTTTGACTATCATCACGTTAGGTCACAATATCAAGTCTACTTAAAGTTGTGTACATATTGTTTGCTACGTTATCGGCTCGGAAAAGGGACGGGTTTTCTGTCACTCCCACCCTTGGTTTGAAAAACGCCCAAATTCTACTTCTTATTGCGTATTTTAGTTTATATTTTTACGTAAATTATATCTGGGTTTGAAGAGGTATTCCAGAATTAAGATTGTTTTAATTACTTGAAAGTATACAGTGCTAGTTAATGTTTGCTATGTAGTCGAGCAGTACTTTGAAGGTTCAAGTGAAAACCGATAAATTATATTTTTAAGCCTACGAAAGCTCCATTATGAATCTTAGGTTGATCTCTGGCGCCCACAGCCAACCCAGCAAATTTTATTTGCCAAACAGTAATGCAGAAATCCTGAATCAGAGAAACCGTTTTTCGCTTCTCCTGTGAATTTATAAAGAAAGACTTACGATGTTTTGCACTTTAACCATCGATTTGGCGATACATGAGCTCGATTACAACAGCATTAAGATATGGTTAATTCAGTTGGTCCGTTAAGTCCTTGAGATCTGCAACTACTTCAGAGGCAATTTATTCAATAAATTACGAATTTTTAGTTAGACAGTTTCATTTCCCAAACGACTTGCAACTCTGAAAGGCAGAGGTTCAATCACACTTAAACTAAATATAGGAATTTGTTTAATAACTACTCATCATTTATTATTTGGTGATAAACTAGAATTTATTCATGGTTTGAACCTTTCTAACTAGTGAGCAAAAAAAAAAAATTAAAGTTACTAATTAAAAAACAAGTAAAAGATTGTCAAAAATTTGCGCAGGGAACATTTTAACCATGCAAAAGTACAAAGTAATATATCTTCACGTGTAGTGAATATATAGTAGACGTAATACACCTGACAAATCACAGTTCGTTTGATACTTACTAAAATACTATTAATAATTACAAAAACTGCTTAAAACATGCAATGCCGCCAGGGGCCGCATAAAAACCGTTCGTCTTTTTTATTACACAGAGTGAGAACAACACCCTTAATGCAAAAAGGTACCTAAATTAAACATTCATTAGAATATCAAAATACTAAGAACCCGCAGTGTTGTTTTCATCCCCGGCATCTAATATAGGCAATCTGACCAGCCTGCTGATATCTCTTCGCTCAAAAGAACTCCTTGTCGGGAATGGCGCTCCACAGAGAGTTCCCAACGATTGCGCTTGGTCGATTAACGCGCCCCATTTCTCGTCTTTGTACAATATCAGGGGGTTCCCGATTACAATTAGTTTTGATTTAGCCCTAGACACAGCCACATTGAACCTCTGAAAGCAATTGCCTGAACTTTAATCCTTAAGAGCTCCATCCACAAGTCTTACCTTGGAGTCATCGACAAATCCTAATTTATATTTATTGTCATATAGTAAAAAGTCCTCTTGGGCCCTCACTGTCGAAATGATCATCACTCTCTTCTCTCTGCCTTGGAATGCCTCAGTAGTTCCCACATCCATTTCGTTTTCTCCGATTCTTTGGAGAGCTTCACGGATCTTGTACATCTAATATTCAATTTATTTAGTTAACATGCAAACTTCGATTGAATAATTACTACCTGTCTCATATAGGGAGTTACAATGCCAATATCGACGGTTGCAACATTTAGAGTTTTCGTTAAAACTTCAACGTACGCCTTTACCATTTGAACTTCTTTTAAATTGTAGAAGCTAAAATCGCATTGATGATATACACTTGAAATTGTCAACTCAACTAGCATTACATACCTAGGAGAACGACCTTCTCGCTGCTCTTTTGCTATCACTGAACAAAACTCTATCGGTGATCCATCGTTTTGTGGCGTTGTTCTAGCGATGTTCCTATGATTGTGTATTAATGGGTACACGTAGGTTTGTGCTAGCGGATCACTGATGGCACCGGCCGATACGGCCTGAAAAAGATGCCAATTTTATTATTTGGCCCAATTTCACTGCTTTTACCAACCGTTAACAGATTATCGTAAAACAGTTCATTGGGCAGCTTCAAAATCTCCGGATGAGATCTGAAGTTTAGTTTCAGCATCGTGGTGAAGTTGTTGTTAGTATCGTTTGCATACACAGGCAAACCCATTAAGCGTTCCAACAGCGATGAGTCTAAATTTTAATAAATACTCGCTCAAAGGTCAAATAAAGCTGTAAAAAAGGACTTGCCATATTTGTAATATTTGCAAATTTCGGAATGAATTACTGGGCCTAATTGTTTGGGATCTCCGGCTAAAACTAATCGCTTGGTCTTGATTAGCAGCCCCATGGCACAACATAGTTCAGGTTCACGAGCTTGAGCTGCTTCATCTACGAAAATGATATCCGGGTGATATTCTCTGAAACGTTTGAGAGCTCAGTTATTAATCCTATCAATTAAGTTGAGGCATTTTTACTTGGTATATTTGGCGGCTAAAATCAGAGTAGTTACAACAATTCGGAATTCTTTCAGCTCGGCAATTCCAACACGAATCACGTCCCGTTGTTTCTCAATCTCTACGAGATTGCAATACTTCAGGATGTCTTTGTGCACAGACGTTCTAAGGACAGAAGGACAGTTTATCTAAGACTAGAGCACTTTGCAGTCGCTTACGTGTCGCAACTCTCCGACATAATTCGCCTCAATTCATTCGGCCGACAAAATTTCGCCAACTTCTCCGTTAACATGTTGCAGGCTGCATTTGCTGGCGCACACACCAACATCTTTTGTTTTGTCAGTCTTTTCAGTTGATAAATCGCTTCTACAATGGTTACAGTTTTTCCTAAAAAAAAAATGTTAAACAACCTTCTTTTCTACGCAAGATCATATATGGGTTCACTCCAAATCAACTGGACGGACACCCATGTGTTTCACATATTTTTTCGTTTTATATTAAAACTCACTTAATCTTGAAAGCCCACTTCCTTGCTTAAATCTTCGAACCGAAAACCTGACTTGAACCAAATTTCGCAACTTTACAGCTGAAATTCAGGCATAGAAAACGACAATTCGACAAGTTTAAAGAAACATTCATCACTCAAAACTCGTTTAATATTATCGCCCATTTTAGCTGCAATTTTCAGCTTTTGGGCATCCGGTCTTTCAGTGCCGATTTCAAGTGGAAGTTAGCATAGAAAA